CGATCTCTCGATCTCTATCTCTCTGTGTGATGCAGTCATGCTGTTTTGCTTACAGCTCAAAACCCCCAGTAAAACATTGTCTAGGCTGGACCACATATTCCATTCCCTAAGGATCTCAATAACTAAGCATTTTGTTAGGGCCCGGCTTCATATTTTGGATCCATACTAACGTTCACAATTTCAAACATGGGTGAAAATGACGTTACGTGGTAACAGTTTTGATAATAAAACCAGTAAAACATTGTTTCGTCTGGACCGCATATATTCCATTTACTTCTCAATAATATTTTGATGTTAGGGCCCGACTACATATTTAATATTCATACAAACGATCTCAATTACAAACATCAATGAATATATTACGGGTGGGTTTGGGGATACATTGAAAGCAGACTTTGAGGACTGCTTTGTTCATCTGTCTGTCTGCTAACATCGTCCGCTCGCCTCATCTCAATCTTCAATCAGTACATCAACAAGAATCAAGACTCGGGTAATTATAGACATTTCGTTAACATTTTACATTTGTGACCTAATAGTTTAGATTTGTGACTCCATAATATTGCACTGTCATTCATTGTAACCTTGCTCATTGTCTATTCAATATATTATTTAACATTTAAGACTTGTCTGTGCTCTATTTCGCTGGTTCAATGGGGACTCATAAACCTTTTGTAACGGCAGGTCCTTAACCGTAACACTATATGTGATAACTAGTCTTTCAGAACGGTCATTAATTGTGTTTTGTCAACAAACGTATCTGATAACAAGCATTGGTGTCACATTAAGGTGATGAATTTGTAATTGGTCCTGTTTGCATTTCAGATAATCAATGCCAACAAGGTTATACTGGTAGCTGCTCATTTCAGACAGGCGGACATTACAGAAATGGCGTTGGTATGAATGCAGGTAAAACATATCTTTGAATTATTGCAAGTTTACATCATTTTAGATATAATCATTACCAATTACTGAAACTTTTACATCTGATGTAGAGTAAACATGGGATGTATCTATCTCTGTAGATTTCCTACATGTGTAAAGACCCGTGAAGGTCCGGGTTAGAATATTGATCTTCAGTAACCCATGCTTGTCGTAAGAGGCGACTAACGGGATCGGGTGGTCAGGTTCTCTGACTTGGTTGACACATGTCATCGGTTCCCAATTCCCAGATAGATGCTCATGCTGTTAATCACTGGATTGTCTGGTCCAGAACCGATTATTTACAGACTGCCGCCATATAGCTGGAATATTGCTGAGAGTGGCGTAAAACTAAACTCACTCACTCACATGAGTGACGTTAACACACTGTGAAGAGAATGTCGGCAATGGATGTATTGTGATTGGTTTATACATTGTCGTTTGAATCATGTACAGAACCTATGTTTTTCAGGTTATCATTTTCAATAAGATATATTGATAACGTGGAGTGGGGCTTTACATAAGTGGCTGAGATGTGTTTAATGTTAATCTAGTTCTAAAAATATACTAAGCAGCAAAAGAAACGTCACTTTGGAATTTTCCTTCGCAGAAACTAATACCTGTAAACTCATTTAATGTTTTGATTGTATATTTTTGACAACATCTTCAACTTTACCTGAGCAAAGACATTCCTTCCCAAACTCAGAATGGAACCACCTGAACCACCTGATCTCGGAGATGGTACGGTGTTCTCCATGTTTTTCATGCAACTCATGCTGCACGTGCTGATCACAAGGACCAGACCTATAAAATGCACCCCAAACCTGGTTGAATCATTCACATAACAACGTCAGCAGGATGCCGCAACTCACGACAGTTCAGAGGTACCAGGCGCTAGGATGACTTGAAGTTGGCCACACTGCGCAAGCCGTTACCAATCACTTCCAGGTCAACGTTCGGGCCATCTACAGGCTGCAGCAACGTTTCCGGGCCACCAACACCACACATGATCGCCCCCGTACTGGCAGACAAAGGGTGACCACAAGACGACAAGACCGCCATGTTGTGCGACAGCATGTACAGAATCCCTTCATGCAGGCATCCGAAACAGCACGCCAGACAGTGGGAAGACACGGAAGACCAATCAGTACTGATACAGTACGCCGACGTCTTAACAGTGGGAACCTCCATTGCGATAGACCTTACCGTGGACATATCCTTACCCCTCGCCATCGGCGTGAACGTCTACAGTTTGCCCTACAACATCAAAACTGGCAATACAGGCAATGGAGAACTGTTCTGTTCACATATGAGAGTCGGTACTGCGTATCAACTGCAGATGGCAGAACAAGAATATGGCGACGATGTGTCCAGCGTTACTCAGACCAATGTGTTATGGAAAGAGACTCATGGGGAGGTGAGAGCATCATGTTATGGGGTGGAATAGGCCTGAACCAGAGAGTGGGTCTTGTGGTGTTCCAGAACCTTGGTCCAGGGAGATGAGGCGACATCACAGCGGTGCGCTACATCGACCAAGCTCTCAGACCCCACCACATACCACATTTCGCACGTCACCGGAACAACATTTTCCAGCATGATATCGCTCGGGCCCATGCTGCCAGAGCTTCACGGGACTTCCTACAGCAGAACAGTGTCAACATTATGCAGTGGCTAGCCCTTTGTCCTGATTTAAAACCAATTAAACATCTTTGGGATGAAATTCAGAGGAGACTGAATAATGTCATGCCAAGGCCGAACACAGCCGATTTATTGCGCCAGGCCTTTCTCAGAGTGTGGTTCCAGGTGCCAATGGCCTCCATCAATCGATTGGTGCACTCTATGCATAGACGCTGTGCTGCAGTTATTGCCGCTCGTGGTGGTCACACTAAATACTGAAGTCAAGATCTAAATGGACTGCAAACGTTCACGTAATGTCTTGGGATTGAGCTGAGTTATTCATTGGTGTGTCAAGATATTGTACACAAAAATGTTTTTGATCCGCTTATTATGTCAATTTCTGTAATGATTTGATTACAGTGCCTATCTAATTTTGAACTCGTACTGACGTTTTTTTTTTGTTGCTGAGTATATATTAAAGTATCCGATGTTAGAGAACAGGGGTTATGATTGTCTATCAGCAGGAATAGGCCCCAGGATCTATTGAGGCACCATGTACCAAGTCACATGAATCATGGATGGTTGTCCATCTCTGTCTTTTCTTATTGTACATTCACAGGTCGACCTTGTTGCAGATAACTGTACCTATAAATCTTTGCTCTTCCCTAAGACCTCAAACTTTCTCCAATGTTTGAGTCATTCAAAGCGAGCCTCAAAACCTATCTTTTCCGCCAGTTCTATGAATCGTAATAACTTTGTCATCATCCCTTCCTATGTATTTTTTTAATTGTGGCGCCTTGAGCATGCGGTAAGCGTGGAAATGAGTGCATTTTAAATGTGCACTATTGATACTATAACTGTGAAATGGGATAGACTCACATATTTGATGATTCGTACGTTGTCCCAGTTGTTTTACTGAAGTAATGTCCCTCTTTATTTCAGGCTCTTATCAACTTTAGGAGAACAAACCTTCGTCAACATGGCCTGTTCTGACATGACCGTATCCCGGCTATCTACTGGACAGGTGCCCCCGTCCCTACCTCCAGGGTCTCATGCCATGTCCCGGGCAGACTGTGTCTCTCTGTGTTTCTTCAGTGTATACTGTACCACCATGTTCTACAACAAGGGCACCAAGTCTTGTCACCTCCTGGAAGGCTTCAATCAGACACAGCTGGTAAAGACAACTGAGCCAATAGAACATCTGGTATTGGCCAAAGGTAAGATCCGAGATATTTCATCATAACAAATTTTCACAAGAAAAAACATTTATGTATCAAACTGAAACGCGACCTACGATATTAGATATGCATTATATTCTATACATTAAAGTAATGGATAAACATACTGTGTTGGAAAGTCAGAGGCATATACCGAGATTATAATAGCTATAAATTTGATTTAAAACCGAACGCGTAGTTTTTTAAAAATCTTAATAACGCGGTTATGGTAGAATGCTTTATATACGTGGAGGCCGTCTGCAATTAGGTATGTACAAGGAGAATGCATTTACAGTCAAACACCCATGTGCCGAAATCTGATGTGTGGAACATATGGTTGTGATAGCTTGCTCCCTAATTTATTCTTAATGTAGTAAAACAAATTGTTTAGACAGTTCATGTAATTTCCTAGGTGGTATTAATGAGCGACCCGTGATGGTTCGGGTTAGAATATTGGCCTTCAGTAACCCATGCTTGTCGTAAGAGGCGACTAACGGGATCGGGTGGTAAGGCTAGCTGACTTGGTTGACACATGTCTCGGTTCCCAATTGCACAGATAGATGCTCATGCTATTGATCACTGGATTGTCTGATCTAGACTCGATTATTTACAGACTGCCACCATATAGCTGGAATATTGCTCAGTTCGGCGTAAAACTAAACTCACTCACTCACTCACTCATTAATGAGCTATGATGAGAAGGAACAACTTTTTTTAATAGATGGGCGACTTCTTTATCGCAAATAGACACAACGTTTGAATGTAGATGGTACTACCGTTATCAAGCAAGTGAGGGGTGAGCTTCTTTTCAGGAGCACAACACGGAAACCGTTCAATATCTTTGTGCACGACTTGGTAGATATATCAAACAGAACCTAAAGTGGTGCCTTTTGGTATTTGCAGGATTTTGTCATTTTTATATTTCTTGGTTTCCATGGAAACGATTCGGACTTTAAGTAACTGTCAGTTGATTTGTTCTTTAATATTTGTGGGGGGTTTGGGGGTTGTTTTTTTTGTTTTTTGTCATCTACTGAAGACAAATGGTCAATATGGAAATCCACCTGCCACTTAATGTCTATGATTTGCAGGTGCAAGTCGCTCTATCCATGGAAAGTGGAGGACAATACACATGTATTTATGCTTTTTCATTGTCGTTCGTTGTTCAGGTACCTCTTCGAAATCGCAGCTTCAAATGAGACCTTTTTTGACACTTGCTGAAAGGGGCCAGGCTATAGGACTTTCGGAATCTGGTCAAACTCATCGGCAGGCTGCTGTCCGCTTTACTGTGAGTCAGAGTGTTATTGGTGGAATGTGGCGGAAATTTCAAGCCAATGGGTCCGTGGAATATGCATGTCGACCAGGTCGCCCCAAAGTCACAACAGTCCGAGATGATAGGCACATGATTAACACTGCGCTACGTAACAGATTCCTTAACGCAGCAGATCTTCAGACAAAACACTTCAATGTTATAACAATGTAAGGATATCCAGGAGCACCGTTCGTCGACGTTTAAGGGCAGCTGAACTCCGCTGTAGGTGACCTGCAGTTCGCCCACTACTAACACCGCGTCACAGGCAGGCGCGTTTGAGATGGAGTAGACATCATGGCCGCTGGAAAAAACGTCAATGGTCTCGCGAGCTCTTCACAGATGAAAACAGATTCAGTTTGTCCTTATGGTCGGCAGAGGATTTATCGTCGCAATGGAGAGCGAATCACAGATGCAGCTGTGGCCACGTATAACTATGGGGCAGGGGTAACTCCTACTGGACGTACCCCACTGCACGTGGTCGACGGTAATCTTACCGGACAGCGTTATCGGGACAAGATTCTGGCGCCTATATCAGTACCATTCCTGGCAGATGCATGGCCTTTATGGTCGATCCTCTTTACTGCAAAACAACAACGCTAGGCCTCATAGGGCCAGGATTGTCACGGAATCTCTTATGCAGCAGGGTTTAGAGCGGATGGAGTGGACCAGCATGCTCGCCAGACCTCAACCCAATTGAGCATGCCTGGGATAAACTCGGTCAACGTGATACACACGTCACCCAGCACCAGTGGATATCCCAGGACTCCGTAGAGCTCTATAGTAGAGGAATAGAATGCGATTCCGCACGCTTCCTTTTTGAACTTTATAAGGAGCATGAGAACAAGGTGCACCCGTGTCTTGGACGCGCGAGGAGGAGACACAAGATATTGAATGACCGATAGGAATGACAGATAGGAGCTTTTGCAGGCAACCGATTTTGAGGAGGTAATATTTGAAAGCAACAAGATTTGTGGAGGGATTTTACGTACACCTCAAATGACTTCTGTGAACGAAGGTTCAAGGTTTCTTTGTGCGACTATAATGTCATCACTTCCTCTTTTGATGCTATATCTAACATGCCACTGGTCGTTATTTGTTCCAGCTCCTTGCCCAATCCAATCAGGATATGTGTACAACCGGAGACTCAACATATGTTACAAGAAACACACTGACACTAAACTATGGCCTGAAGCCAAGAGAGCATGTTCAGCACAGGGCAACTACCTCGTCATGATCAACAGCGCTGAACGGAACCAGTTCATGTACGACATTGCTGCAGATATTGGTAAGTTATGAGAAACAATCATGAGGTCATTTTTGGTTTAATGCTAGAAAACGAGTGGGATTATTGTCCAGCCGTCACGTTTCGTTTCTGGAAATTTCTTGAAAATTCCATTGTATTTCTTCACCAAACTTAGTCCATGGATAGGTCTCGTAGGTAACTGGTGCTTTGTTAATTTTGAAGATTTTTTTCCAAATTTCCATGAGCACATATCTTCGTAGGCCAGAAATGGCGGCACTGCTTGTTGCCGGAGCAGACGTTGAAAACAGTATTTTTACCCAACTTGGCACATGGATAGGTCTAGTAGTGCTTCGGTAGTTTGGGAGTTTTGAAGAATATTTGGTTTGACTTAGTTTGACAGGTTAGACTTCGACTGAAATTTTTCGTTTATTTGGCAGATCTTGAGAACAGTACAGTATTTCTTTACCCAACTTGGCACTCGGATAGGTCTAGAAGTGAATTGTTGTCTATATGCTATATAAAAGTCCCCACAAGTGTTATCATTGTAATTTTAAAAAAAATTGATTTTGAACAGAACGGAAGCAGTGGATGTAAGCAGAACTAAAACATTAATAGAACATGTATTAAAAGTTCAACAAGTGTTGATATTTCTTGTACCTTACCTGTACCGTGTACATTTTGTAACTTGACCCGTGAAGATCCGGGTTGAAATTGGTCATCAGCAACTCATGCTTGTCGTAAGAGGCGACTTACCATGAAGCCATGTTTGAAAACAAAAGGTGTGACTGTTCATCTACAGGCGTACATACGTTGACTGTCATCGTGAATCGGAGTTCAAGATGATAGGAAGCTTTGGACCTTTTTAGACTGATAACCGAAATGAGTAAAACTTTAGCATAAGGTTACGAAGGTTGCGGGTTGGCAAATGAGCAATGGCATCATAAGTCAATGTTCATTAATGCGTTTCTTCTCTTGTAGGGCCTTTTTGGACGAGCGGGAACATACTAGGATCATCCTGGAGATGGGGAGACAACTCTTTAGTTTCTGAACCCACATTCTGGGCCCCGAGTGAACCGGAAGAAGGTCATGCAACCCATAAATGTTTGACCTTTTGGGACCTGGGCCTCCCCAACAGCTGGCACGCCGGTGACTGTTACAGTCATGCCATGGCCTACGTCTGTGAAAAAGCGATGTAGATGTGCAGTTTTGTAATGACACTGCCGAGATGTGGCACTGGAGTGAGTGAGTTTAGTTTTACGCCGCCTTTAGCAACATTCCAGCAATATCACAGCGGGGGACACCAGCACTGGAGGATTGTCGTCCTTAGAAAGAGGTCCGGGTTAAAAATTGGCTTTCATCAATCCATGTCGGTCGTACGGGACAGAGTGGTCAGATTCGCATGTCATTATGTGAATCACTGGATTGTCATGTCCAGACTCATTTTTTTACAGAACTCCCTAATACAGCTGGAAATATGGTGTGGCAAATAACAATCAACTACACGACACTTCATGACACGTCACCTCTTATGACAAAACAGACAGTCACTTGATTGATTAAGCAGAAAACCCAGGTAGTCATTTAGTTACGATGAGTCTGAGTTCCTCTGCCTACATGTGAAGTAAAACGTTTTGAGAAATAGATTTGTCTGACAATACTGAGGTGTGGTGGTGGGTCTTATTACACACACACTCACGCACGCACGCCCGCACGCACGCACACAGAGTTACACATTATATAGGTAGCTAAGGCTGGTTTACTCACAGCACAATAGCAACAAATAGCATTAATAGTATCATTGTAATTGGTGTTATCAATCACATACACAACTCCGATGCATCAGCTGAGGCGTCTCAGTACCAGACAGCTTTCGAGACCATGCGAGTTCCAATTGTGTGACCCATATCTGGTGTCCCCGCCGTGATATTACTAGAATATTGCTAAAAGCAGCGTAAAACCATACTTACTCACTCCAATTGTGTGAGAAACGGTTGTTTTGTGCGGTATGCTTTCAACTCGAAATTACTCCACACACTTACAAACCATGACAGAACCCATACAAAGACTTGGGTTCTACGTTTTCTACATGTCTATTGATATATCGGTCAATGCTTTTCTGTCATTTGTAATCTTCAATGGCATTTGTATTCTCTATGTTTTTAATGTCCTTTCATTATGTATTGAAGTGACATTGAATGTAGCATCAATTGTGTTACCGTTAATCTAATAATACCGTTTCCGTTGTAATACCGTTTTATGTCTACCTTGTATATGCATAAATGTATGAAATGGAATAAAAAAATTGTTTAATAAATTGTATAACCGTTAATCTTCCGAAACCCCACACAACCATACAATATTGGGAATATTTGCTTTAAATAAATCCTTTTGGATGACATGCCCGTTTTTTATGCTTCAAACGTGATGGCTCGCACGTCTGTCCTCAAAGTAAAATTCTGAAATCTATTCGCATTTAGCGATAGTGTTCTGCAATTTATCCTGATGATAGCATGAATCGCTATTCTCAAGTACAGAAATTTGCTGCGGCGAACTTTTCCAGTATATAATGCATGTATAATTTAAAGGTAGCTATCACGAACAGTTGGTTGTATGAAGACTTCATGCCACATATAAGGCCAGTCCGAGGAAGAGTTCTGCCTAAACCATACCACGGAGTTATCAACGTTTGGCTTGACTTTGAAACCTGAAGACATGTTCAAAGCTACATAAAAATTCGTTCAACGAGAGATATATTGCTGGGTCCGGTAAATGTACTATCAAATCCCAAGCGGAATTAACACCATGTGGATTCCCAAAATCTCGGAGGACTTGCTTACATTTTTGCAATCTCAGAAAACAGTTCATGTGTAAACAGTACCTTTAAACAGTATGGAATATTTTGCAAAAGTTAGTTTAGAACAGTTACTTGAAGTAAGTGGCTATATTTACACTAGTGAGTCTAAACGTTTGCTGGGAAGTATAGCTACTTTAAGAAAAACGGAAACAACTGTCTGAATTATCCTTTGAGGCGCTCGTAAAATGATCAATCACCGTGTCGTCAGTAATCATTTTAAATATATATTGTCATTGTGAATTACTAAAAGTATAACTGATTGTTGGGCTCTTGACATGTGCAGAAAGGAAATTTCATCGTCACGTATTGATGTTATGTGTTTCTTTAGGTCTTCAAGCATTTTAGTATTTGGTTGAGTAAATCAAAATTTTAGGTCACATCGGCAGTATTTCAGCTACCTCGTGACTATGAGAGTTGTATATAAATAAAAACGTAGGATGTAGATACCTGTTGACAAAGATCAGTAAAATAGCGAGACATCACAGATTTACCCTTAATATAGCCCCACCCAGTCGTCACCATCCTTGGATCCATCTGAAATAAGTTCGTAAGTAACATATGTGTTTCTGTCTTTACTAGTTGCCATCTTGGGTGAAGACAAATGTTGGGTTGGGGCTATATTTTCAAGACATTTGAGCAGCAGAAATATCTGATTGTACTCGTATTCTAAGGTATATACACTGGTCAAAAAGGAAACGTAACGCCCAAGTGTGATATTTAAAACAAAATTTTGCACAACGTTTTTTTCTGAAATCGATATTAATATTAAGGATAAGTTTGCCTGTTGTCTCTACAATGATTTCTAACACAAAAACACAACGGCTGCGTACATTTCGCCAAAATACAGCAACTGGAAAAAATAATGTTTTGTGGAGAAAAATCTGAAAGCATGGTACACGTGAAAGTGTGGGTGCTTGTGGCTGATATGTGTGGCTGTAAAAACGTGGCAGTCCCATGCTGGAATATACACATTTCTTCGGAACGCGCCTTGAAATCGCAAACGTTGGTAAAATAGTGGCAGTCGTTCATGACTTTATTAAACAAACAAATAGATTTAGAATTATGACCAATCGATATGAATACCCGACACACCTCCTTCATAGTCTTATCTACTGTTAATTTTTACTTCGACTGTAATGTTTTGAATATGTGAGTTGTGTATTACTTGAGTGGTATTTCTAAATCGCAGTTACAGTTTATACCCAGTTTGTGCTGCTTAAGACAATTACCAATTTCATAGCCTTGGTGTGTGTGTGTGTGTGTGTGTGTGTGTGTGTGTGTGTGTGTGTGTGTGTGTGTGTGTGTGTGTGTGTGTGTGTGTGTGTGTGTGTTTTCTTTTGGATTTTTTTGGGGGGTGGGGAGTTGTTTTACTCCGATGTACGTGTATGTGGCTATTATGCTGGTTTATGGGGCGGGGTCATTGACAGTACTGCAATGGACGTTTGTCATCAACGTTACCAGACTGTCGATATCCTGATTGCCATTTGCTATTTACTGACTGTGAAGACCTCGTGTCACCATGCTGTCAACCTCCACTGAAATATACAGCAACACACGTTTCACTGTAAGTTTCAAAATGTACCCCGACCATATCCACGTGCACAATAAGAACAATGCTGGCATGAAAATTAGTGAGTGTAAACGGAATAATCTTCTACTTTTTAAATCCATATATAATCTATATGATACCATCCCAAAATGGAATACCCTCTACTTTTTGTAATGGTATACAAATATGAGGAAGCTTTTTACATTTGATTGGGTTAGGTTTAAGTAGAATAGAAGAAGCCAGTTAACTGCACAATGAGTAAGATGAGAGTTTGACACACTATAGGTGGAGCCTGTAGTATTGACCAGGATTATGACTGATGCGAATCTTTGAGTTGATGGTTAACTGGAGACAAGTGACAGCCTTGATCGCAGTTGATGTATGGTTGGAGTCATTTCACGTATAGTCCGCTTGGCTCAAAAGCGGACTGATGAATTGCAATCTAACTCGAAAACTAATAAACAGAAAATACTCAATGAAACACTGATCATAATCAAAACGTCAGACCAACTCTGTGATTTGTTTGCAGAATTTATGTCCTAAAAATAAAACAGTTGTTTAACAAACTATCATTAAAATATTGACACAGTTCACTATGGAGGAGTGCAGAGAAAGTTAAACAACTTTTTCAGTTTCGGTCCGCTTTTGAGCCAAACGGACTATAGATTGCTTCTGGGAGTTTTCTGATATTGGAGTCTTTGAGGTTGGTTGTTTAAGCTTCGACGCTGTTCCACTGGCTACTGTGAAATATAGAAGTTGTTTATGCCTATATTGTTATCCTTCTTTAGTTCTCCAAGTAACAAATGCATCAAACTTAGCTTTGCATGAATACAATTGTTATCCTAGACGGAGACGGCTGACGAGAAAACTGGATGCCACTGTCGTTATGGATCAGACTGCTCCTTATATCATAAAGTGTTGGTACACTGAATAGATAGAAGTATTAGCTGGGTTGATATGTCAGGTAGATCGATATCTTGCTTCAACAACATGTAACGTTGATCTGAATCATCAATGAATACTTAATAATTAACTGTTCAACATCTCAGCACGCATTGTATTCTGATTACGCAATATGGGCCCACTGCCATGCCAACTAGACAATGCTGGAACAATGTCAAGTAGACAATGCTGGAACAATATCAAGTAAACAATGCTGGAACAATATCAAGTAAACAATGCTGGAACAATATCAAGTAAACAATGCTGGAACAATGTCAAGTAAACAATGCTGGAACAATGTCAAGTAGACAATGCTGGAACAATGTCAAGTAAACAATGCTGGAACAATGTCAAGTAAACAATGCTGGAACAATGTCAAGTAAACAATGCTGGAACAATGTCAAGTAAACAATGCTGGAACAATGTCAAGTAAACAATGCTGGAACAATGTCAAGTAAACAATGCTGGAACAATGTCAAGTAAACAATGCTGGAACAATGTCAAGAAAACAATGCTGGAACAATATCAACTAACAATGCTGGAACAATATCAAGTATACAATGCTGGAAAAGTGTCAAGTATACAATGCTAGATCAATGTCACGTAGACAATGATGGAAGAGTGTCAAGTATACAATGTTAGAACAATGTCAAGTAGACAATGCTGGAAGAGTGTCAAGTATACAATGCTAGATCAATGTCACGTAGACAATGCTGGAAGAGTGTCAAGTGTACAATGCTAGAAATTTGTCAAGTACACACTGCTGGAAGAGTGTCAAGTATACAATGCTAGATCAATGTTACGTAGATAATGCTGGAACAATGTCAAGTAGACAATGCTAGAACAATGTC